AAAAAGTGGCTGATTGCGACGAAACTTTCAGCACCCTCGAGTTAATCAATATTACGCCTACCCTATAATTTATATGACCCTGACTCAAAAGACCTTTGACTTGTGACCTGTTTTCCGAGACCATGTTTGGCCGGAATCGCGTTTTGGCGTATTTCGATTAGAGCGCCTTTTATTGTCTTTTTGTGGCTTTAAGCGATCAAACATGTGAAAGGATGTTGATCCGATGGATGCTAATGGGTATCAAGGTCACGTAAAGGTCAGTCAGGTCACTGACCTTTGATGACATTTATTCACTCTTGCGAGTTCTACATGTTTCCAGGGTAGATTTTGGAGTTGATTTCGCATTTAGAAACCGTTTGAACATTTAAGAACGTGACATATAAGTGCATGTATGGCCTAAACTTTCGAATTCATTTTAAAAGAGATAAAACGCAAAAATTATCCAACGTTTCGCATTTATTGCTTAGTCATGGGTGTTAGAGTGCGATTGTGACACTTTGAATACATCATATAAAAATTGCATCTGAATCACACACTTTTTGGATCTTTTTGGATCTTCTATCTTTAACGAAAGCAAACCGAACGACCGAACGAATCGAATTTCTTCGAAGATGCAAGGAAGAACAAGTCCTTACGAACTCAGCGCCAAGCAAGCTTCGCCCTAAATGAAGCAATAAAAGAGCAAGCGAGGCACAGGAGTTTCTCATCATTTGAAGAAAAGCGATTCATCCCAGAAAAAGACCTCTCCTCCAAAAAGTGTGTGATTCAGATGCAATTTTTATATGATGTATTCAAAGTGTCACAATCGCACTCTAACACCCATGACTAAGCAATAAATGCGAAACGTTGGGTAATTTTTGCGTTTTATCTCTTTTAAAATGAATTTAAAAGTTTGGGCCATACATGCACTTATATGTCACATCTGTCATTTGATAATCCTCAACATGTCAAGAAGTGCAATGAATGAGCCATATCACGTTAGGCAATCTTTCTATCTTTAACGAAAGCAAACCGAACGACCGAACGAATCGAATTTCTTCGAAGATGCAAGGAAGAACAAGTCCTTACGAACTCAGCGCCAAGCAAGCTTCGCCCTAAATGGAGCAATAAAAGAGCAAGCGAGGCACAGGAGTTTCTCATCATTTGAAGAAAAGCGATTCATCCCAGAAAAAGACCTCTCCTCCAAAAAGTGTGTGATTCAGATGCAATTTTCATATGATGTATTCAAAGTGTCACAATCGCACTCTAACACCCATGACTAAGCAATAAATGCGAAACGTTGGGTAATTTTTGCGTTTTATCTCTTTTAAAATGAATTCAAAAGTTTAGGCCATACATGCACTTATGTCACATCTGTCATTTGATAATCCTCAACATTTAAGAAGTAGTTTTGGTTCCCTCGTAACATGTGACCTGACCTGACCTGACCCGACCTGGCCTAAATGCACGAAAACATCATCTGTGATCAAAACTAACTTGAAATTCGTGATCAGCACCGCGCAAAACCCTATAACAGCTTCACTTTACGAAGCTCTAACAGGTCCAGATTCCCCGACTTTTGAGTTATATTGACCTGTCAACCAATGACCTAGGACCTTAAAATTGGATATTATCGGCCTCCTCTCGCCACGGGCAGCACGCTCTTTTTCCGCGAAGCTCTAGCTCGATCAGGAGCTGAACGGCAAAGGGGTCCAACGGACCCTCCTCCCCCCCTTTACGATAGACGCTGGCAAAACACCAATATGGGCGAGGGCGAAAATACAGCAGCTGTCATACAAATTCAGCTTGAATCAAAGGTCAGGCTTGCCAAATTTCAGCTTTCGCAGCTATCAACAAAAATAAACATGTGGAGGCGGCACCCGCCTCCCCGCCCCTCCCCCCCCTCTCCTCTCGGCCACTGCCAGCGATATCATACACGTTACAAGGCATCATATCAAGATGACATACCCCAACAGCCATATGCACTGAACAAAAACTTATTACCCACGCTAGTCTAGTTATTGGCACCATAGCACATGGTCGAGACTGTCGTCAGCCACGGACGCGCACTCGACCAACCCTCCGAGCCCGTTGACTGCGGGTGACCTTGACATGTCAAGCCTGATCGGCGGCCGGCCGCTGTCGTGCGTCGTTACACGCGGAGGGGAGGGAGACACAAAGCTCTATGTTATAGCTGACCTCTGACCTTTCCCCGTGCCCTGGTCACTGACCCCGCTCCATGTCGCTGGGCGGTGGTATGGCGGTGGAAACCGGTTCTAGCCTCTACACATGCCACCATCCTAACCCTCCCCTCCCCACGCTACTACGCGGCGTGGAGTACGCTCGTGCGTAACTGGGCGGAGCAAGGGGTCACGCGATACAGGGGCGGAACTGGTTGCCCTCCCGCTCGCCGAGCGACCAACGACTAATACCCTGGAGAACCGTACGTTTGGCCGGAATCGCGATTCGGCGTATGTCGGCTCGCATTAGCCGCGCGTTTGCAGTCTTTTCGTGGTTTTAAGCGTTCAAAAATGGGATATGATGCTGCTCCCATGCATTAGGGTGGGTGTCAAGGTCACCGGAAGGTCAGGTCAGGTCATTGACCTTCGATGACCTCGGTTCACTTTTTCGAGTTTTACATGTTTCTAGGCCAGTTTTTGGAGCTGAATTCGAATTTAGCAACCATATGAACATTTACGAAGTAGTTTTGGCACCTTCGTATCATGTTACGAAGCTGTCAGAGGCGGTTGCCACCTACTACGAATACCCTTACTGGTTGGCATGACCTGACCTGACCCGACCGGCCTGGCCTAAATGCATGAAGACATCATCTGTGATCAAAACTAACATGATATTCGTGATCAGCACCCCGAAAAACCCCATAGCAGCCACGCTTTACGACTTTCATAGTCAAAGTCATAGTCATAGTCAGGTTTATTAAGAGCTCCATAAAACATGGCTTTTCTGCCCTCTCGTCAATACAAGTTGTAAAAAAGATGAACACATAACTATCTAAAAATATGTCCTAAAATAGCACTCATCAAACGTGTAGGTACACGAGTCACAGACGATTCATGCACCCAGCATTCCAAACAGACACGGCTCTGTACGGAAAAGTACGTTTTCCACGCTCGGTCCTTACTCTAGGGAGCTCCAATTGACCAGCGCACACACCGCGAGTGGCCCTGACTGACACCTCAGAGCGACTGCGCACTAGATCGGCCAACGCCGGAGGCGCCCCGGACGACATCAGCCTGCGCAGCATGGCCGCGTCCCTCTCCTCTAACATACCGTCAAGACGCTGCCACCCCAACGACTCCAGGGCGGGAGTGACGTGCTCACGCCGGGACAAGCCAGTAACTATACGGGCTCCAAAATCTATAGCCTTTTGCACTCGCTGGCGGAGAGTAACAGAACAGCTGCCCCATACCGTTAAGCAGTAATGCAAATGGGGAAACACGAGCGCCTCAATCAGTAACTTTTTTGTTTCAAAGGGCAACCTGTGTCTTATCTTAGAGAGACCAACGAGAACGAAGAAACAGCGGCGAACAACCTGAGATACTTGTTTTTCCCATGATAATTCAGAGTCAACAAATAAACCGAGGATTTTTGCAAATGGTGAAGGACTTAGATCTGCATCGCCAAATCTTATGCTAAAGGAAGTACACTTCTTCTTCTTCTTTGGTTTGACTATCAAAAGTTCAGTTTTGCTTGGATTCACTTTAAGCCGGTTTTGCGTAAACCAAAGAAGTGCCACATCAAGTGTGCCTTCAACGCGCTCTTTAAGACATGCTAAATTTTCAACTGAGTCGCAATCTAAAAACTGTACGTCATCTGCGTATGTCACCTGCTTGCCAAAAGGTAAATGAGCCGTCAGATCGTTAGTAAATAGTAAATACAGCTTTGGGCCGATTAGTGAGCCCTGTATTGCACCGTGCGTCACTGGCAGTGTCCCGGCGCGGCTACCCTGAATGCTCTGAGTCCTGTTCCTCAGCCAGTCCTCGAACCAATGTTTGTCTACACCGTACCAACCTAATTTATCTAACAGTCTTACATGTTCTATGCTATCAAAGGCACGAGATGTGTCGGCTGCTATCAAAGTGGAGACATGACCATTTTCTAACAGGTCCCGATTTTCCCGACTTTTGGGCCATTGACCTGACCTGGAAGATCAACCGATGACCTAGCACCGTAAAATTTGGTATCATCGGCTTCCTCTCGTCACGGGCAACACGCTCGTTTTTTCCGCGAAGCTCTAGCTCGATAAGGGGCGAAACGGCAAGGGGGGTCCAACGGACCCCCCCCCCCCTTATACGTTCGCGGCTGGAAAGAACACCAATACGGGCGAGGGTTAAATATGATTTAATTCTGTTTGATGAAACTTGTCGGACTAAGCGATGAACAGAGTTCAGTACATGGAAGCTCCAAAATCAAAATAAAGTAAATTTTCAAAAACTTTTATGGAAGATAAGAAAAATGAGAGACACTTTTATAGGTGACAGTTTATTTAGTACGGAGACTGCTTTTAGGATTTACCAGAGTGCACTCTGGTAAATCCTAAAAAGGTAAATCCTTTTCCACTCGAGTGGAAAAGGTTACCCCGGCAGCGCCGGGGTAGACTGAAAGTTACCCCATCAGGGGCTCCCCCAAGCACTCAACGCACCCGGCTACGGGCGGTGCTCGGCTTACGGGCAATCCCGCATGGGATAAAGTTGCCCGTCCAGCCCGGATCAGGCGGTTGCGGCGTGGAGGAGAAGGATTTGACTATCCTGAGGATGGAAACGATGGAACGGTGCGGATATCGATAGAGGCAGATATAGTCACTATAAGCTGAACATTCCATGAGCAAGGTTAGCAGGCGAACTGGCGACGAAATGGAGAGTGTGGTACTATTCTATGGGCAGACAATAGTGATGGACAGAGTGGGGCGAGAAACTATTATCCACGTGCCTCGGGAAAGGTAGTGAGCCCTGGGAGCATCGTTCGTAGCTGGCGGACGGTTTGTGTTCTGACTGACTGACCTTTGCCGGTGTGCTGGTGGCGCCCTCGGCGGTCGGCGGACGGAACGAGAAGCTCGGCGTGCTCGGCTGAGCAGGTGGCGCTGTGGTCGGTCCAAAGCTGAAGCCAGTGGAGGCGGCAGCAGAGGCGCCAGTCGTGGTACAGCCAGTCCAGGCCGACGGTGCCTTGCCGAACCTGAGACCGCCGTCCGTGCCGGAGACCGTCCGGGTAGCGGGCGTCTTCTTACTGAACCCCAACCCGAAGATGGTGGGAGCCGCCGTGGAGGGGGCCTTGCCACCGCAGGAAAACAGCTGCGGTATGGGGAGCTGCTGCAGCTGTGGTGCCGCCTGCGCCTCCAGCTGCTTTGGGTTCCTCATCTGGGCCACCTCCAGCTGCCGAATGGGCAAAAGGAGTGTCAGAGCTGGAGACATCAGTGACAACGGGACACTATTTAGGGGCACGATACGCCAGAAAATGCACAAAACTTATCGATCCTCGCAATGCGATGAGATCCAACACAACATACCGGCGATGGTTAAATCAACAAGGATGTGAGATAAACATGGTCGTCAGCACAGTGAAGGTCTCTGCCATTGATGATGCGGTCGGACATTGTTGTGACTGCACAGGCCACCCACTACCGGGTTTGACGGGCCAGCAGCGCTCCGTCCCAGTGGGCCTGAATCGCCGTCCCCCTGACTCACGCTCAGCTCCTGCAGCTCTCGGCGCAGCTGCCGCAGCTCCTCGCCCAGCATGCCGCGAGCGTCGGCCAGCACCGCGTCCCGCAGCTCTGCGGAACTCTGCGGCCGGGTGTGCGGGCCGGCCGCCGGCGGCGACTGCTGTCCAATCAGAGTTATGACGGCTTCCTTCAGACCCTGCAGCTCGTCGTACAGGCGGTCCATGAGGGGACGCACCTCCTGAGCGGAAGGTACAGGTCTCGGGTCAGCCACACCCTCAGGTCCGCCAGAAAGTGTCATTCCTTGGATAGGGCACAACAATCATAAACACATACATACATCCGTGACGTTTCATGGTAGTCAAAAAACCCTAATTTATTTCTCTAATGTGAAAGTTCCATCCCAGGTCTCTTCTCCCTGCGCACGATTAGACCACTGTCCTGACCTCGACCCGAGGTCAACACCTTCAATCCGCGACCCACTGGGGGGCTATTCATAGCCCCCTCCCGTTTTTCTGCAATCACTTTTAAACCGCTTGACGTATCGCCGCCAAACTTTCAGTACCTTCGGCTGCATCAATTTGACACTTTTTTTAATTTCAACTTCGTATCTATCATAGGTCGGCCGGAAATGACGTCAGAGTGACGTCATGTTCGGCCGATTTCGATGCAAAACATTGAACCACGGGAATCGCTCCCAAGAGCTCAGTTTGTGAGCTAGGTCCAATTTCTTTGCATGAGAGGACTCAGAATGGACAGCGCTATCAAACTGCTATCTCGGATTTTCAAAATCTAAAAAAAAGTTAAGAAAATTATGTTTATTGAAATTTAAAATTTGTAGTCTCCCAGCCAGCAATTCGCTTGGGCTGAACTGTGGCAAGCGTCGGGCAGCTTAGGCTTAGCTTGGGTTTGCCCACTTTGATCAAAACCAATGTATTTTTTACTAGGGCTGAGCTGGGGCATGCCGCAGCTATGCCCACGTGCGGATAGCAGTAGCTCAGCCCGACATCTGCCCGCGCATCCAAAACAGGCTTAACTTGGGCGGAGCGCGGGCTGATCAAGCTGGCTGTGTCCTTCGGCTAACTGGAGTAAAGCCGGAGCTTAGCCATACTTGTTCGGCTGTTCGCGCATGCGCAGTTCTGCGCCAATCATGTGCAGCATTTGTGACAGTCTGTGCGCTGTGCGACGAAACGACACACCGGTGTTGGGGTATTTGGTGGTTGATGTTTGGGCGCGTGTGACAGCGCGAAGAAGGGATAGTGCTCACTGCTCTTATCAAGTGGACTGGCATGGAGTTTTACGGTAGGTAAGTGTATTGAATGGTGCGCTTGATCGTATGTAAACGTCACGATTTTGACTGAGTTTGACGCCATCAAACATGAAGCTGAATAACTGTTCAGCCTAACGACTTATACCCTCGCTCAGAAAAGCTGCATTCCGTGCCTTTATATCTTTGTGAAATACCAGCACTTCTGACCCAGGAAAATGAAATACAAAACACAAATATTTGTCTACTTATCACCGAGCACTCTCATTCTCTGTCCGCATTTAAAATCAAATGAACATTTTATACGGATCAATGAGAAGTGTTTTTACAGTATTAAGTAAGCAAATAATATTGGTTTGTTTGAAAAAACAATGTCATTTAAATATTTAAAAGTATTTATTTGTAATGCTTAAAGGGAAACATTTTTGTGAGTAATTGTCTCGATTTTGACCATTAAAACGGGTATTGTATTTTTTGACGTCATCAAATAGCTCCAAAAAAGAAATGTAATGTTTTCATTCCGTTCAAGGCCGCTGAAGAAACGCGGGATCTTGCGTGGGACATTGTCCGTTGTTCGCCGCGCAGAGTTGTGCCGTGGTTGTGCCTTTTTCATCCGTTTCTTACTTATGTGTGCATGAAGCTTTGATTTTGTTTTTGGTTATTGTGTGGCCGGTCAGTCAAACGCCCCTGTAGAAACCGGATGCTGCGTTTGATCGAGATGGAGTCAGACGATGATTGATATTGAAACGCCTCCTGCTTCGTGTAAACGAGTCAAAACCACCCAATTCTTTCAGTATTATGGAAGATTATCTCATCGGTGATGATCCTGGTGCCGCTAATTGACATGGGCACCGGCAAAGGTCATCTGAGGTCATGTGACGTCATAAATAGTTTTTCTGTCAATAAATCACGACATGATGGTGCAAAAGACTTGTAAGTTGTAAGTGGTACCAAACTGCTCGCCTGGTCAAGGCGCGTCGTTTGGTATGCAGCATGACCATACCCCACAACCTGATTGATGAATGACCTGACCTTGACCTCAGGTCAAATTTCAAATTGACCTGTGAAGGTCATCACATACTTATTTCGCATCCCCTCGGCGAGAGCAACAAAAAATGTATTGGTCTTATGTCTCTATGTTTCTTAGTTTAAAAGTTATATAGGTAACTAATTCCAAAACATTTTATCGTTGATGACCTCTGGTGACCTCAATATTGACCTGACCTGAAAATATTTTATGTAAAAGTTATAGATCTTTAAACGACCTATCAAACGCCGTTCGCCGTTTGTCGCTGCGATGTGTAGTTTTTGAGATCTGAAGGGGGGCCGAATCGGCCCACCCCGCCAGTTTCTTGTCCCGGCGGAGCCCGCCAGGAATAGGGTTAACCCTAGCATGTGTAGGGGGGGTCGGATGGACCCCCCCATGGTTTTTCGCGAATAACTCGCGTAAAAAATGGCCGATCGCAACGAAACTTACAGTACCTTCGCATTGATCAATTTTACACCTACCCTGAAAATTTCATGACCCTGACCCAAATGACCTTTGACCTGTGACCTCTTTTTCGAGATCATGTTTGGCCGAAATCGCGATTCCGCGTATGTCGGCTCGCATTAGCCGCGCGTTTACAAGCTTTTCGTGGTTTCAAACGTTCAAACATGTGATTTGATGCTGCTCCCATGCAATAGGGTGGGTGTCAAGGTCACCTGAAGGTCAGGTCAGGTCATTGACCTTTGGTGACCCCGGGTGACCTCGGTTCACTTTTTCGAGTTTTACATGTTTCTAGGCTAGTTTTTGGAGCTGAATTCGAATTTAGCAACCATTTGAACATTTACGAAGTAGTTTTGGTGCCTTCGTAACATGTGACGAAGCTGGCAGAGGCGGTTGACACGTACTACGAATACCCGTCACAACCCCTGCTGGTTGACCTGACCTGACCTGACCCGACCTGGTCTAAATGCTTAAAGACATCATCTGTTATCAAAACTAACACGATATTCGTGATCAGCACCCCGAAAACCCCCTTAGCAGCCACACTTTACAACTTTCTAATAGGTCCCGATGTTCCCGACTTTGGGTCATTGACCTGACCTGGAAGGTCAACCAATGACCTAGGACCTTAAAATTGGGTATCATCGGCTTCCTCTCGTCACGGGCAACACGCTCGTTTTTTTCCGCGAAGCTCTAGCTCGATCAGGGGCCAAACGGCAAGGGGGGGTCCAACCGACCCCCCCCCCCCCGGCCCCTACACATTAGAAGCTGGCAAACGCCGCACACATGCGAGGGTTAAACTTGGTGGATTGCATGCTGTTATGGGCGCCTATAATTTGCATATCTCGGATTTTTTATATCCGTGACCTAAGGTCAGGTCAGTGGCGTGACCTTTCCATTACAAGTCAATGGAAAAAAAAATGAAAATGCCGAGCTAATCCGTGTGTACGTATAGGAACAGTCCAAATATTTCAGAATCACAATGATTTAGTACACTCGTGATGACCAAGGTGTCATTTTTGCTGATAGCCTCTAGAAAGGTCATCCGAGGTCATTTGAGGCCACAAACAGTTTTTTGCCAATAACTCGCGATTGGAACGAGATAGAACGCTGGGGATGGTCTCATTGTGTTCGTCTTGTTGAGACGCATCGACTGATATGCAATATGACCTTTTCCGGTCAGGTCATGACCTTGACCTGAGGTCAAGTTGACCTTTCTAGGTCAAAAAATAGTTCATTCGACGCGTCTCGGCGAGGGGAACACGATTCTGGCAATCGAAATGTCGTGACTTTTGTAGTCGAAAGCTATTGTCGAAAAACACTTTTCGTAAAAACAGCTATTTTTGGAGATTTGCCCTCTGGAGGCTAAACCGTTGACCTGAGGTCAATTTTGATAATAACGTTATCAAAAGAAGAGTTCAAAAGCTATCGATTGCTTTTCCATGCGTTTATGTAGCTACCATAGTTCCTGAGATAGCGGCATGTTTTCTGAAAAATATAATGACAATTGACAAATTTTGACCTTTGATGACCTCTGGTGACCCCAATACTGCTCTAAGGTGAAAAATAACCAAAATACTTTCAAACGTACGCATTGAGAGCAATCGACTGCTTTTTACCGCGTCTTTCTAGCCCTCTTAGGTTTTGAGTTAGAGGTGGGTGGTAACATATGCCCCCCCCCACCCCCCCCCCCCCCACTAGGGCAAAGTTGGCTGAGTCTGCCACTGGGGCGCGTGTTATAGGTATTCACTCCAACAGGATGGGCAAAATCTCGTCACTGCAGGGGCAACTGGCAGCCACTGCGGGACATTTGCCCCCTTGCAGTAGCGCGGAACACCTTTAATTAAGGTGGGGGGCGGGGGGAGGGGTATTGCCGACTTTTGGTCCCATTCTTTCCATGCAACGCCCGTAGGGCTAATGCCGAAATCAAGGGTGCACGGTTCCCCGGTGCCCCCTCCCCTCCCCGTTCCGCCACCCATGCCCTCTCCCCCGTTAAAGGGACCCTCCCACCTTATCCCGCGCACCGACGGGGGGCGGATATCCGCCACCTCCCCCTGAGGTTTTTCGCGAATACCGGGAAAACCGCGGCGCGTAGCGCCGCGAAATTTAGTAAGACTATTCCCTCATCAATTTTACACATGGTGTGCAAGATTGAACCTCCTACCTTTTAACGTCAGGTCACCAGGTCACTTTGAATGACCCAACCTCAAGTCACTTTTTTGCAACTTTGTCACCGTGCCAGAGCTACAGTAAATGTCGGAGGCCTTTGAAAGTCGCAGGATGTGATTAGGTCATTAGTAGCTACAATTTGTTTATCTCGGAATTTTGATATCGGTGACCTAAGGTCAGGTCAATTTCGCGACATCCCCATGATAAGCCAATGGCGGAAAAATCAACTCCCTATTTTTACCACTAAAACGGGTCGGAATGGCCCCATATACCATACATGACTTCATATACGATCAACCTTCACTACCTTGAGGTTTGTTTTGCTGTCGGGCAGCTGTGAGGTCATGTGACGTCATCAAAGTTAACCAAAGGTTTTTGGCCAATAACTCCGTACAGGAACAAGATACAGCCGCGCAGATGGTCTCATTGTGTTCAGCTCGTCAAGACGCATCGAATTATGTACATGATGACCTCGAGGTCACGTGACCTGAGGTCAACCTTTGACCTTGACCTTTCGAGGTCAACATATATATCATTCGATGCGGATTGACGGGAGGATCACGATGATGCCCTTAGTTTGTTCCTATCTTGACTAATTCGAAAGTTATTCGAGAAAAACTCTATCCATATCTAGCGCCGCCATTTGGACTTTTTCGACCCCTGTGACGTCATCTTTGACCTGACCTGAAAATGACTTTTGTAAAAATTGTAGATCTTGACCGTGCGTATCCGATGCCGTTTACCGCTTGTCGCTATCTTGCTTCGTTCTCGAGATATCAGGGAGGGGGGCGGTCATCCGCCCCCCCCGTCGGTGCGAAGTTGCGCGTCGGTGCGCGGGTTAACATTAGATTTGAGCTGAGATAGCCAAAATGGGGTCCCTGGCTCACAATTACCGGTTTCGGCACTCACAACATCGAGAAATGCCTTAAATCGGAAATATTGAATGTCAAAATTGCAGCATTTTGACTCAGAGGGGCTAATGCATAGGAATACCCCTCTGAATGTGTGACGTCAGCGCAGATATCTAACGAATTTAAATGTTTGACTAAAACGTTTTGTAGCACGCGGTGGTATATGCTGCTTGGCGCGCAACAAGTGCCGCCCTTTCAGCTGCCAAACTATTGCTTCCAAATAAAGTCGCTAGGAACAGCGGAGATCCCAAAAAGTAAACAAAAGTAAAAGTCTAATATCTTGAAAACCGGTGAATATTTTTCGGTGAAATTTGGTAGATATTCGTTTTCGCTCTTACTGAACCGAGCGACATCACTTTCAAGGCAATTCATAAACTTTTTTTGAAGGTGGGAGCCGGGAGGGTCCCTTTAACCCTCGCCCGCACATGGGGGGGGGGTTGCCACCCCCCCCCCCCAGGTAGTCTTTCTGATCTGCACTCGACACTTTTAGAGCTAGAAGGCTGATTTTTCGCATAGCTAGCTGCTCCTCTATCCTTTCTTGATGTCAACTAAAAATTTCAGGTTTCTGTGATTTTCGGTTTCGGAGATATGACCTTGTTTTCAGGTCATGTCATGACCCAAATGGCCAATTCTCAACATCTTGCGTTTGCTATGGGCCTTGTGAGCTTTTGACACCTTGATTTCGGTCTTTTTTGCCAGTCTTACCTCCCACCTATCATGGAACATGTTGTTCGACGATGTACAGGTGTCAAGGTCAGGGTCAAGGTCAACCTAGGTCATCTAAGGTAATTGCGTTTAAGGCAAGCTGAATTTACTTTTTGTGTAGTTTTTTTTACTACATTTTTGGTAAAAGCTTCTCAGATCATGATTTCATGTAATATGGACACATAAACAATCGTTCCACACATCAGTATACACACAGACACACACAGACATACAAACACATATAATTGACCTTGACCTAGCTTGACCTGAAATGACCTCAGCAGCAAAAATATGGTCGGGTAGTGTGATAAAGAGGTTCTAGCTGGCTTGGCACCAGAAAACGGCATCGTCATCGGTATATGATAAGCAGCGCACTTGATATCCAAGGGTGACCCAAAACAGCAACATTTTTTTAGTTTGACCTGACCAGGAAGGTCAATGACTGACCTGAGAAGGTAAAACTGGGTATCATTGGATTTGTCTCTTCCCAAAGAATCTTTTTGGTCTTTACCGCTAAGCTCTATCTCCAACAGGAACGAAATGGCGCGGGGGGTGGCAACCCCCCCCCCATGTGCGTTCTAGGATGGGAAAATGGCATGTGCGGGCGAGGGTGCATGTTGATGTAAGCACAGGCATCCAAACACTCAGACGGGTATCTAGCACACAGAGAAGACACACAAAGAATCACAGAATCACATACACACCGTTACATAAACACATATTGTCTGACTATAGACACAGACGCACAAAACACACTCAACAACAGACACAGGGACACACAGACCCCCCCCCCCCTCACATACAGGTCGGCCCTTCTCACCTGATATTCGCCGCCTCCGCCGTGGTCGGCTCCGGTGGACAGAGCTCAGTACCGTCCACACACTGTTGGACCACCCGCTCTGTCGACTGACCCTCCTGGTGGACGCAGTGCAGCTCGTGCTCCTCCGTCGGCCTTTGTCCCGGTCTGGACCGCTGCAACTGCGCAGTATGTAATTACCCCGGGGCGGGGCGCCGCTGAGTCATGGTACCGGTTACGGCCGACCTCGGGCCGCTGGGCGACTGCAGCGCCCCTACCGGTCACCGGCGTCGTACTGTAACTAATGGGGAGCCGGGGCGTTCGTGGAACACTGTTGATGTAAGTGGACTGTTGCCTCGTAAAGGCTAGTCAGCAACAACAACAAAATAAAATGGGAACTCTCTACATTCGTCAAGTACTTGGATGTCCGGGTTCCAATGGGCCTTGTCCCGTAGCGAGGAGACTCTAGCGTGTCCAGTGAGCCGGCGCGGCGGCGGGGCGTTCCAGACTGATGACGTCAGCGGAAGGCCACCATGGATTCGTGATAACACGGGCCGGATGGCGGTGCAGCAGCCCCCCCCCTCCCCCCTCCCCGGCCGTCTGGAACACCCCCATCCCTCCGGACACCGCGTGCAGCTCGGTAATGTAAACCAAAGTGAGCAGCAGACATGTGCAGGGATGGAAGAGGCGAATCTATTTAGTGGATATCTCGACAAAATGGAGAGTTCGGACCTACATCTCAGCCCTCGCCCGGCCAGGGGTTGGGGAGGGGGAGATTGATCAAACTCTCGCCCGCACATGGGGGGGGGGGGGGTGGTTGCCACCCCCGCCCTCCCAGGTATTCCTTCTGCTCTGCACTCAACATTGTTAGAGCTAGAAGGCTGATTTTTCGTATAGTTGCTCCTCTATACTTTCTTGATATCCACTATAAATTTAAAGTTTCTGTGGTTTTTGGTTTCGGAGATATGAACTTGTTTTTTCAGGCCTCGTCAATCGTCATGACCCAAATGACCAATTCTCAACATCTTGCGTTGGCTATGGGCCTTGTGAGCATTTGACACCTTGCTTTCGGCCTTTTTTGCCAGTCTTACCTCCCACCTATCATGGAACATGTTGTTCGACGATGTACATATGTCAAGGTCAGGATCAAGGTCAACCTAGGTCATCTAAAATAATTGCGTTTTAGGCAAGTTGAATTTACTTTTCGTGAAGTTTTTTACTGCATTTTGGTAACAGCTTCTCAGATCATGATTTTATGTAATATGGACACATAAACACTCGTTGCACACATCAGTATACACACAGACACACACAGACATACAAACACATATCATTGACCTTGACCAAACTTGACCTGAAACGACCTCAGCAGCAAAAATCTGGTCGGGTAGTGTGACAAAGAGGTTCTAGCTGGCTTGGCACCAGAAAACGGCATCATCATCGGTATATGATAAGCACCGCACTTGATGTCCAACGGTGACCCAAAACAGCAACATTTTTTGTGTGACCTGACCTGGATTGTCAATGGCTGACCAGAGAAGGTAAAACTGGGTGTCATTGGATTCGTCTCTTTCCAAAGAATCTTTTTGGTGCTTACCGCGAAGCTCTATCTCCAACAGGAACGAAATGGCGCGGGGGGTGGCAGCCCCCCCCCCCCCCATGCGCGTTCTAGGATGGGAAAATGGCATGTGCGGGCGAGGGTTAAGCCCCCGATCTGTTTTCGCAGATAGAGTGCGCCGCAAAATTCTACATACCGTCTGGTGCATCCTTTTGACATATTCTCAGAACATTTCGCGTCCTATCACTTTAGGTCAGGTCAAAAGGTAAACACCTGGAACAATCCCTGAATAAAATTATACTACTTTTGTTACAGCGGAACAGGGTTGTGCTCGACAAAAAAAAAATTGCTGACTCGACTTATCATTCAACTTTAGAAAGCCCTGACTCAACTCTGACTCAAACAAGGAGCTGATTTTTCCCTTGACTAGACTCATGACTCAAGCGGCTCAATGAAAATATGAGTCGACTCAAACTTGACTCAAATTTTTTGTTAAGTCAAGTGAGTTGACTCAAAATTGACCCAGATAAAAAAGTTGTTGACCGGGGGGGGGGGTGAAAAAAATCCGGCAGCAGGGCCAGGGCTAAGTTGTTAAAGTTGTTAAGCGGGAGGGGGGAATGAAAAGCTTTTATACATAAATCAAAAAAAGTCTGTTCTTGAATGAAATGAAAACGGTTAAAATGCACAAAATACGGCGGTCACAAATGCGTTTCACTGAATCGTTTTCGTAGGGCCACGTCGGCCGCGTCGTACGTAAGGCCACGTCGGCCACGTCGTGCACCGGGCCGTCGCGCACCGGTGGAGTCCCGTCGAAGACTGTCGGGCCCCCGTCCCGTCTCAGCCCTCGTGGTAGCACAACACGTGGGCCTGAGAACCAGGACAGGGGCCAGATGACACATGTGTATGTGCCCGGCGCGGCGCGGCGGACCGACCGCCGCGCTCCGAGCGCCGGCCGTCTTTGCGAAAATACCTAAAAATACCAACGTATTTGCTCGCTAACACCTAGGTTTACCAATGTTGTACAGGAGGGACATTTTTATTGGTCCACCTAGTACCTACCCTTTAACCCTCGCCCGCACATGGGGGGGGGGGGTGGTTGCCACCCCCCCCAGGTAGTCTTTCTGCTCTGCACTCAACATTTTTAGAGCTAGAAGGCTGATTTTTAGTATAGCTGCTTCTCTATCCTTTCTTGATGTCCACTGAAAATTTCAAGTTTCTGTGATTTTTGGTTTCGGAGATATGACCTTGTTTTTCAGGTCATGTCATGGCCCAAATGGCCAATTCTCAACATCTTGCGTTTGCCATGGGCCTTGTGAGCTTTTGACACCCTGATTTCGGCCTTTTTTTGCCAGTCTTACCTCCCACCTATCATGGAACATGTTGTTCGACGATGTACAGGGGTCAAGGTCAGGGTCAAGGTCAACCTAGGTCATCTAAGATAATTGCGTTTTAGGCAAGCTGAATCTACTTTTTTTGAAGTTTTTTGACTGCATTTTTGGTAAAAGCTTCTCAGATCATGATTTCATGTAATATGGACCCAAAAACAATCGGTGCACACATCAGTGTACACACAGACACACACAGACATACAAACACATATAATTGACCTTGAACTAACTTGACCTGAAATGACCTCAGCAGCAAAATTCTGGTCGGGTAGTGTGACAAAGAGGTTCTAGCTGGCTTGGCACCAGAAAACAGCATCGCCATCGGTATTTGATAAGCAGCACACTTGATATTCAACGGTGACCCAAAACAGCAACATTTTTAGTTTGACCTGACCTGGAAGGTCAATGACTGACCTGAGAAGGTGAAACTGGGTATCATTGGATTCGTCTCTTCCCAAAGAATCTTTTTGGTCTTTACTGCTAAGCTCTATCTCCAACAGGAACGAAATGGCGCGGGGGGTGGCAACCACCCCCCCCCCCCCCATGTGCGTTCTAGGATGGGAAAATGGCATGTGCGGGCGAGGGTTAAATAATGTGTTTCTAGATGCCATATAAGTCAATCGCCAGGGGGTCATACACCCGCCTCCTGGCCGCTCGCATTAGGAAAAACGCAATCTGACACACCTACAGCGTTATGTCAGACTTACAGCGAAGTGATACTGTGTATCAGTGTTCGCCACGGGCCGGGCCAGCCCAACGGGCCATGGGCCGGGCTGGGCTACGGGCTGGGCCGGGCTCCCAAATATAATTAGTTAACGGGCTATGGACGGGCCGGGCCAAGAGCTTTGTGGACTACCATGGGTTTTGCGACTAATGTCAATTTAAGAAAATTTGGAAACTGATGCAAACAAAACCCACTGGGAAAATTATAAAACTAAACCAAATTTAAGCAATGTGAAAGAAAACCTACTTGATATTGAATTTTGGGAATCTTGAGAATTTTCCAATATCACATCATGTCACACATAGGAGGGTTTTCATAAAAAATCCGCAACCAAAAAGATCAGAGAATCTCTAGCATCATTAGTTTGTTAATAAAAGTTAAAATGTAGTTATCAGAATAACTTACTTAGCACTACAACTCCAAAAACTAAGAAGCCACTCAACAATGATGGGCTACAGGGCTACATTAAGTTAAACACTTACATATGGCGATAGTGAGACAATTCCAACACAGTCTTTGTTCCTTCACCGACGGCTTTTTAACGAACAGAACCTTAAAAGGATACTCACGAAACACACTGTAAGTAATGAGGAATTCTACAGAGTATTTCGCGATGAAAGCTTCTTTAAATGTCCATTAATTTGTCAAAATAAATCACAACAAACCAGCCCCCTCTCAACAAAATTTGCGATCATGGCGCTATGTTTATGTGGCGGCATCTAGGTAGTATACACAACAGTATATCAAATAAATACGTTTTTTAAGTAAGTATCAAGGTAAAAAACAAAATGAAATAAATAAGAAATAAAACCTAAATCACGAAGTCTGAAAACTCGAACGAAAAACAGAAGAAAAACTTGATCATATATGTTTTATTATACAATTGGTCAGAATCGCTACCTGCCGCAGCTGCGACAATCAAGAAGTGTTCGCTCATTTTCAATTGATGATAATGATGCGTAAAAGTCGCAAAAACACCCAATGACATTTTAAGCTTACCATGTTTTCTGCTTACGCTGCTAGCGATATCTATATCTTGAAAAGAGCCTAACATAAAATAGCAAGGAAAGCAGCAGATAGTTGTCCACAGAGATTCGGTTGACACGTGGGCATGAATTGAAAATAGATTAAATCAGTTTTGCTGATAAATGGATGGATTTTCTCTTTTTTGGAAGACAGTGCTAAAGCTAGTGTCACCTATTTTGTATGCTTTCTCAGGCTTTTGATATTGCAGCATCAATGGAGTGAATTTAACAGCAAGGTCAATCCCAGACAGATTCATCAATTCCCATAAGTCAAGCTTTTTTCTGCTGGTAAGTGCTGGGAAGTATAGAGTAAGTTGCAAATACTTCCTTCAAGTATGCATTAGAGTCACCAATTATGCATGATAATATTCACACACATCAGCTTGCAAGATAACTTTACTCATAGAATGTAGTTAATATAATCATGTAAACTTTTTATATGTGTGTAATCATGACCTAATTGACTGAGGTGCTTGCTGTTACTGTTAAAATTTGTGCCATAGGTACTTGAAATGATTATATTCATTGAAAAGAAGGGAGTCATGATTGCCATGTTAATATTCATGCAATTAGAATTGTTCTCAAAAT